CTTGGGAGGCGGAGGCAGGAGACTCGCTTGAGCCCAGGAGTTGGAGATTGCTGTGAGCTGTAATGCCACGGCACTCTACCCAGGGGAACAGCTTGAGACTCTGTCTCAAAAAAAAACAAAACAAAACATGAAAAAGAATCAGAAGAGCAGTTTTGTTTGTTGTGCTCTAAAGCTATATTATTTGGATGAATTGTTATGATTTACTAGGGGCTGCATTTGGGGCAGTGAATGGTCTTCGGCTAGGATTGAAGGAAACTCAGAACATGGCCTGGTCCAAACCAAGAAATGTACAGTAAGTCTCATGTAATCTTTTGATTTGATGATGTTTGAATGTTAACCACTGCTTTGTTGGTTTGGTGGGTATAACCTTGAGGTCTTAACATATTTTTTTATGTTTTTTTTTTTATCTTACTCAAGGAGAAGAGGGAATCAGATTACTGAATCAATGTCCCTCACTTACCTAGTACTACCCTAACATAATTTTTTAGCTACACCTGTTCCATTCTCCAAGCCTGTATGATATACTTTCCAAAATGTTGAATTACTAATATGAACTGTGGATTGTTCTGGGATCATAGAACATGGTAATGATGAAAGCAGCACATAAGAGCGACAGCTAAAACTGTTGTCATTTAACTTGAACTTCTTACTCTCTGTTTCTGAAATAGGCACAGAAATTTTAAATTCTTAGAACTGACAGGTTGTTCCAACAGGATAAGACAGGAGCTTCTCAGGAACTTGAAGTTGGCAGAGAGAAAAATACAATTAAAAGGGTTGGAAAGTGGATATAATCTTCACCTTGCTTAAGAAATAAACTTGGCTAGTCCCCTGATATTCCCTCAGCAATATGTTGATCAGTTTTGCATGTTTGTATAGGTCATATAACTGCAATTGCAAGTATGTGTTCTTCCATGGGTCGCGGTTTTGTTTAGGGTCCCGTAACCTCTAGCTTCCTTATGTAGTGTCCAGCCAGCAGGTGGCAGCAAGTGTGCTAAAATTAGACCTTAGGAAACTTGAAGACTTGTCAAGTTTTTTATATTCCTGTTCCCATGTGGATTAGTGCCCTTGCTTTATCAGCCCAAATCCTTCAATATTTTTATTATTTGTTCCTTGCTTCAGTAATTTTTTTTTTTACTTTTTGTATCATGGGGAATTTTGAACATATATATACACAACAGTGGACAAAATACATACTGTAATGAATATCCATGAACCATAAACCATCCTTTAACAACTTTCAGCTGTGGCCAGCTGTGTTCCAGCTCCTCCTTCCCCTCTTATTTTCAGATAAGTCCCTAACATCATATTAAAATATAAACTTGGAAGTAGAATGTTGGCTAGAAGAGATAACCTGCTTTTTGCTTAGTAATAGTTATTAAAATTATGTTATGAATGAAAAAAAGTGCTAAACTTAAAATATATTAGTAAATGTGTAATATAATTTAAAGCAATGTATTTCATTTTGTAAACATTACTACTTTTTTTTGAAAAATAACCTTTTAGAGGTGATACAAATTTTTCTTCCCATACAGCATTAATTAAAATGAGTTCTTTAATAAATTAAATTGAATGAATTCTTTTACTCTTTGTTACTGTACTTGCATAATTCCCAGCAGTAGTCAGCTGTCCGGACAGAACCATTCCTGTGATGGTGTTACACTGCTGGAAGAGAAATGTCTTGTCTTCTTTATCCGGTTGCCTCCATCGCTGTTCTGGTGGTGTCTGGCACTGATACAAGGCAGAACTGTGCTTCCTTGAGAGTGTGCTAAGCATTCACTTTGACTGCTTAGTTCTAGTCGGGGAGCAGACACACAATGCTTTCTCCATGTATTCTAGTTTAAATGACTAAGTCCTTCTCTTTAATTCTTTATATTCTGTACTTTCATATTCTTTACTTTGATCATCTTTAATATCTTTTTTTTCTTTTAGATCCAAGTATAGGATTTTATAACATCAATAAGAATTTCCTTCAGTTGTTGCCTAAAGTCTTAATTTTAATCTAACCTATATCCACATGGAGTAAAAGCCATGCTTACTGAAATTCAAAGGAGATATTGAGTTATATCTTAAAAATAAGAAAACCTGGGGCTTGGGTCCAGGCATTTCAAATGGCTACTATTATGGGTTTTTAAAGATTACTAGAATTAAATAATGATCCTAAATAACAAAATCTTTCTCTTTTTGCCCTGGTAGGATTTTGAATATGGTGACGAGGCAAGGGGCACTTTGGGCTAATACTCTAGGTTCTCTGGGTAAGTAGAGATCTCATTTGATAATTAATTGTTAACACAAAAAATATGCAAACCTATTATGAACAATTTGATCAACCAAAATTCTTGTCCTAGGATATGAAATTATTCCTAGTGAAGTAATGTTGTTATTACTTAGGGCAAGACCATGAACTGCATAATGAAATAATCTCAGGTACTAATACTATTTTTAAATGTTTTAAATCCTTTTAAACATGGCACACTCTCCTGTCCAAGCAGGACCCAAAATAAAGTCATGTTTTAACTAAATACTTTAGATACAAAGCAAAGAGCTTTTTTTGTTAGGCAAGGTTCAAGGTCCTTTAGTGAGACGTGATAGATTAATCCAGTCCTCCTGCTGTTTTTCTATTATTTATTCAGGAGTCTGTTTACCTGAGTAGATGTAGAGGACTTAATTGCCAGAGTTGCAGTAGGTCCTTTGTAGATAACGAAAACATTTGCAGTTCTAGGAAAGGGGTGATTTAGTAGTGCTTAGTCAGAACCACATGCTTTCCTATCATATTGTCTATGAATGATTGATTCTTTTATTGATGGCTTATAAATAGACCTCTTGTGGCACGTATGCCCTCTTTAAAACTTTTATAATTTTTGAACTTCATTGAAAGTTTGGAAATCTCAATTTAAATTGTGGCAGATGAAGCAAGAGAAAATGTAGGCAACTTATTGAAAAGATAGAAAAAGTTAATATTGTGACACAGTAGAAGCAGTACATTTTCATACCATAAAGCTAGTGTCATATTTTGGATCCTAATAGATGGCTGCTTCCATAGGCTCCTGCATGGATTCCTTCTACCCTACATAGTTACCCTCTGTTCCTTAATTATTTACACACCTAGATTAATCAGCTGTCTTTATCTGCCGGGACTTAAGATTTGGCACTTCAAGGCTTATATTCCAGGAAACCCCTCAGTCCTAGGCAAACTGTAAGCGCCCCATACCCCATCTTCTTGGGGCTCTATTGCAGACTTCACTGGATAGGCATGATGGAGGCATGATCAGCTACATAGAAATGTGGATGGACAAAAGAAGTGATCTAATACTAACAGACTATATAGAGAAACCCAGCAAGGCTTATCTGTTCAGATTCTTGGCCTTTCTGTGTAGCATTCATTCTTCCTGAGTGTGGGGCAGGACCTCTTCTGAAAAGGGGGTGTTATGACCTATAGTCAGGCAAAGCAAATCAAAAAATTTCTTTATGAGCAGCTCTAAGACTGAAAAGTAAAGGAAGATTATACTTTTAGTTTCTATGGCCTACCTTTGAGGGGGAAGGATTAGGTGAAAGTCAGAAGGAGTTCTGGGAGAGATTCTATTTCCTGAGGCCTGAAGCAGCCCAACATTATAACAAAAGACTGTTTTTCACGTTTATTGCTCTCCAGAGGTTCTGAAGTAGCTTCAAGAGCAAAGGATAAAAGGACAAATTCTTTAACAAGTGATATCCTTATGTTTTAGTCACTTTGGAAATAGCAAGGGCTATGGGAGTTAAAAGCTGGGAACTATGATAAAAAACCAATTTATATATATCATATTTGCTTTTTTATCACTGAACACTTCCATTTCCCCTTTAGCTTTGCTCTATAGTGCATTTGGTGTTATCATCGAGAAAACACGAGGTGCAGAAGATGACCTCAACACAGTAGCAGCTGGAACCATGACAGGCATGTTGTATAAATGTACAGGTAGGTACTATTGAGTGGAGCGCTTTCTTTTAATACATTTGAAGTATGCTTTTGGCAGTCCATGGTTTTCAAGGAAATTTAACATAATGTCCTCAGTGTTCATCCATGTTGTATTATGTGGTAAAATTTCTTTCCTTTCTAAGACAAATAATGCTCCATTTTATGTAGTAGACCACCTTTTGCATTTACATCTGCCAAAGGATGCTTGGGTTTCTTCAACATGTTGGCAGTTGTGAATAAAAATACCATGAATGTGGGTTTATAAATCTCTCTTCATGAACCTGCTTTTTTTTTGAGACAGTCTCATTATGTTGCCCTCGGTAGAGCCATGGCGTCACAGCTCACAGCAACCTCAAACTCATGGGCTTAAGTGATTGTCTTGCCTCAGCCTCCCTCATAGCTGGGACTACAAGTGCCCACACAACACCCGGCTATTTTTTGTTGCAGTTGTCATTTTTGTTTAGCTGGCCCGTGCCACTTTCAGATCCGCCACCCTCGGTGTATGAGGTTGGCACCATAACCACTGTGCTATGGGCACCGAGCCACATGATCCTGCTTTCAATTCTTTTGGCTATATACCCCCAAATGGGATTGTTGTATCATATGCTTTGTGGTTGATTTTTGATACTAAAACAATGAGATTCTTTTCTATATTCTTTCATACATTTTCCTTTTTTCATCTTGGATAAACAGTAGAATATACAAAATTTCTGGTTTTGTTTTAAATAACAATCTGACCCAGCAGGTACATTGCATGAGTATATTGTATACTTTTGGGTAAAGGACACACCTACAACTCAGACAAGCAAACCATGTAACCTAAATATATGTACCCCAAGTTAATCCGGAAAATAATTTGACTTACATGGTTAGCATATTAAATGATCACAAGACACATACCAAGCGAAAGCTCAAGAATGACTTCCCTTTAAGTCAAATTAGACCATGTTATTCTTAGGAGAACCCTGCTTTACTTAAAGATCAACCTTATGTTGCTATGAAAGGTCAGATAATTCTTTTCCATAATAAGTTTTTATTAGTTTAGAAGCAAACGTCCAAATAATACCTAATTTCTTATGTTGATACATCTTTGGTCACTTTTCTTAATTTTTATTTTTATCATAATCCATATACAGACATACACTCTTGTCTTAATTTTAAAAAAATTAAGAATAAAGAGGCTCAGCACCTGTGGCTCAAGTGGCTAAGGCGCCAGCCACGTACACCCAAGGTGGTAGGTTGGAATCCAGCCTGGGCCCGCCAAACAACAATGACAGCTGCGACCAAAAAGTAGCCAGGCGTTGCAGCGGGCACCTGTGGTCCCAGCTACTCGGGAGGCTGAGGCAGGAGAGACTCACTTGAGCCCAGGAGTTGGAGGTTGCTATGAGCTGTGATGCCATAGCACTCTACCCAGGGGGACAGCTGGAGGCTCCTGTCTCAAAAAAAAAAAAAAAAAGAATTTTAAAAGTCAAGGTTATTATCTTCTTAAAATCTGTCTCTTGATTTTTCCATCTTAGATATTGCTTGTTGACTTCCTTTTGGAAAAATTGTTAATTCCTATAAGAATTACATAGAATATGTTTAAGGGAGAAAGGAATTCACATGCTTTGTATAGGTCATCTCATTTAAAAGTGTCTGAAGGGAATAAATTGGTACTCCCTTGCTTCATAGCCAAGGAAACTGAAATTCAGACAAAGTAAGTTGTACTTTCACTTGCTTACACAGCTCTTTCATGGCTTAGTGTTAATCAAACCCTAGTCTTGACTCCAAAACCCATTGCTCCCTTTTCACCTTTCCAAATTGCCTCCAGGATAGAGAAAAATCGAGGAAATTCCTCGAAATAAGAAAAGAGGTAATAGCGATTGAGCTGGGCCTTAAGGATAGACTGAATTTCAGGTGTTGTTTGGTCATATAATATGCATAAGGAAGGTATAGGAGAAAAGATAGTTTAGGGCTCAGCGTGTGGAAAGTTAAGGTGAGAAGTTTAAAATTAGGCTGAAATGCAGCAACATCTAATCATCAGAGGATTTTGGAAAGGGACTATTAGAATCATCCTTGGGGAAGATGAAGCTAGCAGATAAGATAGATTGGAGATAGAAACCTCTAGTCAAAATGGTCAAGAAAAAATAAAACAAACTTTCAGGATTTAGGATGCAGGCCCCAACTCAGGTGATAGGTGGTAAACTTCACAACTGATGAAATGGGGGGATGATGAGACACAAAAAGGCTGTTTCCTAGTTTATTGTTTTCTCTTTTTTGTATTGTATTGTGAAAGTATATTTTTTACTTCCCATAGCACTGCATCATTAGAGGACTATTTTGTCAGTGATTGTTAGTCATTGGGGTGATTGTTTTTCTGTAAGTGGTAGGGATTGTCCCAGATCCCTTTGAGGATCCTAGGAAAGTCTTAGCTGGTTTATAAACCCTGAGTTAACGTCTCCTGATACAGACTCTACTCAGAAGGATGTAAAAGTTAACTCTTTGGAGTTACAAACACTTTCAGGTTTATGATTAAATGAAAATGCTAATATTTAGACGATAACAATTAATTGAAGTCCAGTGAAGCCAGATTGTTTACAATGGCCTGTGTGAGGCTCTCTGTCTTTCCTAAGATGTGCTCCCTTGCCACTTGGATGAGTCCACATTCTACTCTTCTTCCCATTGCCTCTTAACTCCCACTTCAGGGCCTTTGTTCTTGCTATTTCTGTTTCCTAGAATGCTCCTTCCAGCCACCTGCCTCACATGTTGCATCATCTGTGTGTTTCTGTTTTCAGATACCACCTTCTCAAGGCTTAAGCACCATTGTACGTAGTTTTGCACATATGCTTTAGTGTAGGACAAATGACTGAAAGTTAAATTACTTGAGCAAAGGATCTACGTGTTTAAAATGTTAATAACTGATAGCAGATTGCCCTTCCAGGCACTAGCTTATGTTTGCCAGTATTAAATATCATCTACCACTGCTTTCTTAAAGCCAGTGTTGAAGAATATTAATGTTTTACATTGCTTTTCCTTGGTTGCCTGTGAGAGTAAGAAACTTCTATTGTTTAATGGTTGTTTACATTTCTTCTCTAAATTGCTTTGTCATACCCTTTCTGCATTTTTTTTTTATTTTTTGTTTTTTTTGAAGCAGAATCTCACTTTCTTGCCCAGGTAGAGTGCTGTGGCATCATAGCTCACAGCAGCTCAAACTCTTGGACTTAAGTGATTCTCTTGCCTTAGCCTCCCAAGTAGCTGGGACTACAGGCACCCGCCACAACTCCTGGCTGTTTTTGGTTGTAGTTGTCATTGTTGTTTGACAGGCCCAGGCTGGATTCGAACCTGCCACCTTGGGTGTATGTGACTGGCGCCTTAGCTGCTTGAGCTACAGGCACCGAGCCTAAGAAACATTTCTTAATCTTGACTCTAAAGTAATTAATTATCTTTTAGATGTGTTAGCTCTGCCACTAACTAGATCTTATATCCCACAAACAAGGCACTTAAAAATTAAAGGCCTCATTTTTCCTGTGTAATATTTGCTTTGTCTCTCTAGAAGATCTAAAAGATAGAAGGTAAAACTGAAATATCATACGTGTGCTTTGCTTTATAGAGATTGGCCATTGCCCTTATTTGGTTATTCTCTGTGCAAACCAAACCAAGTGTATTTGGTGATCAAGCTCCTGTGCTTAGTTGGTCAGAGTTGTTGATTACAAAAAGACAAAGGCAGAGGCCATAAACTTTTTGTCATATCAACCTTTTGGGAAACCCTGGAATTAATAGGAACAGTAATGTGATAAAAGGCTCCCTACATAGATTAGCTAGCCATATTAGCATGTAAGAAAATCAAACACTTCAATGTTTAGTATCTTCTTGAGACAAATTTTTTCTATCTACCCTTTAAGAAAGTAATTTAATTGATTTGAACTAGTTTTTGTTGCATATAGGGTAGAAAATAGCTTCGGGAGGAATAAATGATTCTTAAGAGGCACATAATGTGTTACTGGTGTCCCAAAGATCTCAGAGCCTTATAGTTCACAGTGTTTTGATGTTTACCCCTAGTGTCTATACCAAAGAGGATTCCCAGAATAGTTTGTTATATGGCAACTGAGAACTGGCATGAAAATCCTTCCCTTGTGGAAACCATGTTCTTAGGACATGCAAAGCAAAGAGCCAACTAAAAGCCATGATTTGCAGCTCTTTCCACAGCATTGAGCAGACTTCATAGTCTTGTGGGTCTGTTTAGTGACTAGAGGTCCAAAAGAGCCTGAAGTTGAATGTTATTCATACTGCAAAATTATTGTGCTTTCAGTTATCTACCCTTTGTCATTTTTCTACTAATGAACAGTGTGGCTAAAGGTACCATGGCTATTGCTGTGTTAGTGTTGATTCAGAATGGAACTTAGAGTACTGCATTTTGGCTGCCTGTTTGAAAGAAATATTACTACACTCAAAGCTTAGATCTAATAACTAAGCCTTGCCATGTGATTGCAGATACCTCTTAGGGCTTATTCTTCTGTGCCTCGTAGTTTATTTTTTCTCCTTTAGTTTAGTCTGATTATAGTTCACTTTTGGCCCTGCAGCTTTTTATTGACTTGAAAGTCAAAAACATGATCCTTATTAAACTGAACCGATTGTTTTAAGAGTTCATTATTTTCCAGTTTTTATAGTTTTTTCCACCACATTAAATTATAGATGCAAGTTCAACTGCCATGCCTAAGGTCTACATACAGCAAGATGACATAAAGAGATGATAGGAACTTCAAGGACATAAGTCCCATTTACTTTGATTAGTGCACCTTTTTGTTTGTTTTGTTCCCCCCTACCACCCACTTAACAGCTGTTTATAGATGTCTGCAGTTTTCTGTTTGGGTCTGTTTAAGAGAGATAATTGTGGTACTCACATGAAAGCCCAAGAAAAACATAAGTAGGTCAGCTATCAGAAGTGTTCAGACAGGAGATTCCTGGAGGGAGTGGACCTTTAATCTATCAGATGAAGCCTTCTGGTAGGACACACGCACTGCAGAAATGTTTAGCTCTGACGTGTTCAAACTCAGCAACATCATTGAATTTCACAGAATTGACTAACACAGAGGTGAAATGATGCGATCACTCCTCCATAGTTCCACTCCACCTTTGTCTCCCTGACACATGATGTGGAACAGATAGACTTTAGATATAATGTTGGCCACCTCAAGTTACGGTCCCTGCTTATTTGTGCAACTGCAAAAGAACTGCATTTTTAAAAAACTTCTTTGAGTACCCCCACTCCTGGGGAGTTTCTTGTTTTTCTTCATCACATAAAATTTACAAGACTGATATTGTAACCACAAGCACTTTGGGGCATTTTCTATTGTAAGCATTTTGTAGCTCCACCTTAGACTTAGGGAATATTTTTAAATAACTGAAACATTTTTTCTTAGAATTTCAGGTGAAATGCCTATTGCCAGTCTTTTCCACATTAAGAGTTATTCATGGCTTGGCCCCTGTGGCTCAGGCGGCTAGGGCGCCAGCCATATACACCTGAGGTGGCGGGTTCAAGTTCAGCCCGGGCCCGCCAAACGACGATAGCTGCAACAAAAAAATAGCCAGGCATTG